TACTATTTGCAACCTGTGCAAGGACTACATCCAGGGGACGGAGAACGAAGAATCATACTTTGTCAGTGGATTCTTGATAGAACTGATAATAATAGGGAGTTCTTAAGCAATGTTTTATGGACCGATGAGTCATGCTTCACTAGACGTGGAGTGGTAAATTTTCATAATCAACATATTTGGTCGCATGAAAATCCGCATGCAGTTCGGGAAAGAAATTTTCAGCATGAATTTAGTGTGAACGTGTGGATTGGTATCTACCGTAATCGATTATTTGGACCCTACATTTTGCCTGCAAGGTTAAATGCTGCGACCTTCTTGGAATTTTTAAAGGCTGAACATGCAAATATGTGGGATGATGTTATGTTAGATTTAAGAAGATTGGCCTGGTTTCAGCTTGATGGTTGTCCAGCTCATTATTCGAGAATAGTTAGAAACTGGCTGGACGAAAATTATCCAGAAAGATAGATCGGCCGTGGAGGACCAGTCGCCTGGCCTCCACGATCCCCTGACCTAAATCCAATAGATTTCTTTGTGTGGAGATTTCTAAAAGAAAAAGTGTACCAGACTCCCGTAACCACAAGAGATATGCTAATAGACAGAATCAGGAATACATGTGATGAAATAAGGCCTTATTTGAATAATGCTATACCACGTTCGATCATTCGATGATGTGAATTGTGTATTGAACAATTGGGTTTACATTTCGAGCAACTACTTTAGATTTTGTATGTTTGTCCTAACTAGCCAACAGTATTTTAGTTGTAAATAATTGATTTAACTTGTTAAAAATAATATTGGAAAATTAAACAAATTAATATTCTGTTTTTTGTGTTTATTTTGGAGTTAGGAATTATTGCTGTGTTTAAAAACACAATCTAAACGATCATCTGAATTACTTGTAATGCCCAAATCGAAAATGTAAAAAAAAATATTATTTTCAAATAAATAATTAAAAATGTATCGAACCTTAAAAATCGAAATATCTCAAAAACGGCTAACTATAACGAAAACTCACAAGAGAGCTTTTTTATGTTGAAAAGTGCGAAGAATCAGTTTTTTATTCAAAAAGCAAAAAATTGCACTAAGAAAAATTTTTCGGTCATTTTAATACACTACAGGTACAGTAGAGAGCGCCCTCTAGCGGCTACAGTAAAACTATGCCCATGGTTCGTTTTTTCGTACCAAAAAACCATTGTATACCAATTTTCACTGTTATACATCAAATATTGTTCGAAATATTTAAAAAAAACTATTTTAGAAAGTAAATTTAAACACCCTGTATTTCAGAAGCCACGCATTTTTCGACCCATGTTTATATAGACTTTATGCATTCATTTTAAAAGTTCTATCGAATCTTAAAGTTATGCAACAATAAACTGAAACACCCTGTATAAACAAATATATACAAATGTCCTTGCGCAGTAAAATGTCAACCATCAGATTGCAAACCGAATTTCTGCCTGTCTGGTATTGAGTGTAAGACCCACATATAACATTGCTGATGCAGTTGCTCAAGCATATTTTATTTGCTAAAAAAGATTTAATTCTTGCGCTTTTGTTATGTCGAGGATCAATAAAAAACAAATTGTTCTTAGTGGATGCGCTTTGACGACAAAAGCATACTTTTATTGTTAGTCAAAACAAAAAAGTTTATCTAAGATAATAAAGCAATTTTTATACAATGGTTTTATTCTAGCCCAATAACTGTTTTCAATAAAACTTTTTTATGATCGCTGTTTACTATGTTTTATAATAATTTTAAAATCGTTTAAGTCATTATCCGGTAGAAGCTGTGGGATCCATAATAAAACAAATTAAAGAACAGAATTGCTGCACAAGAGGTCGCACTTTTTGGATTTATAAGCGTTGTATAAACCTTCATAGCGGCATATTGACAAAGATAGTTCTAGAAAACTTTGTTAGGTCGTTTATACAACATAAATTGATAGTTAGGCTACAGGTAGCTGATTATCAAATAAAGTAGTTCCAACAATGCGATGTACCTATTTGATATTGCACCGATCTAGTTAGTACATACATAATAGACAAACACAGTATCCATGACTCGAAATGTAACTTCTGAGGCCGGCATTTGAACCCGCGAGCATTAGAACCTATGTGTTAGCAGCTCGACACACCAACACATCTAGCTACCCGGTCCTCAAGGGTTGACTATAAATTTGGGCTGCAGGATTGAAGGATGAAGTAGGACATTTTGGAATATGTTCCTGTATGGCATGTTACATACTGAGTGTTCATTTGAAAACTTTCCACCACGAATTTATCAACTTTTTAACCTTAAATCACGCCACCGTCTTTCACCCTCGGCCTCCCAGGGTCATTTCTTTAAAAACTTTAAACGACAAGGGGTATCGAGTAATAGCTTGTTTAACAGGTCCTTAATTAGAAGAATCCTTATGTATCTTAATTAATTAAATTTTTTTTCAGATAGAAAATGAAAGCACATGAAAATATCACTTTGTATTTCAATAAGTGTTCAAAATCTTGCCCGTTAGAGTTAGCCAAATCTGCAATTCGCTTATAATTAGAAACGGAAACTACCAACATAAACAGCAATTCGGAAGATTAGATGGCAACAAACAAAAAACAACCCGAATATTCTTCCGTATTCTTTCCATCAACACAGATATCCTGGGTGAACTGTATTTATTGTTATACCTGTTTAGTTATTTGTTGCTATTGGATAGAAAGAATTTAATTTGCTGTCAGTTTCCTTTGTGACAATCTTGGAACTAGTGAAAATTAATTTATTGATTCAGATTTTACTTCCAAAATGGCTTACACACTAGCTTAAAGAGTGGAAATGATTCTAATTTATGGTGCCCAAAATCAATGTGCTTGGCAAACTGTCGTCACGTTTAACGTCAGACATCCGGGAAAGATGACTTTGCATAAGTATGTTTTGGACCTTGTTACTAAATTTACTCAAACTGGATCTGTGATCTATTGCAAATAAAAAACGTGATCACCAGAGAGTTTTGGATGAAGCCGCTCAAGTTGAGGTTTTGGGTTATTTTGGAATAAATCCTAATACTTTGTTACGCAAAGTTTCATCGATTCAAAATGACAATATTGCAAGAGTTAACCGAAGATGGTTTCGATAGCTGAGTTGAGTTTTGTGAACAAACTACAGCAGCGATTAATGATAGTAGCATTCATGTAAAGAATATCTGCTTCAGTAATGAATGCACATTTTATCTGAATGGACTTGTTAATAAGCATAACTGCAGGTATTGGAGTAATAAAAATTCTCATGTTTTTGAAGAAGGGCATACCCAGTATCCCCAAAAAATTAATGTATGGGTAGGCATTTTAGGAAACAAAGAGATTGGGTCATTGTTTATTACGGAAATTTGAATGGAGACATTTATTTGGATATGTTGGAAAATACCATCAATCCGCTTATGACTGAAACCATTGAAAACCAAATCGAAGATGATGGAAACCCTATACTTTTTTTTTTTGGCTTTAGGACTAAGCCATGCAGCCAGAAACTAGGTTGGTAATTTTAATTTTAATTATGGACAAACACACGACGACACAACATCCATGGCTTCGAAAATGTTCCGAAGGCGAGATTCGAACTCGCGGCCCGGCCGGCCGGCTGATCAGTAGCACGACACTCTGGCCCACCCGGCTAACCGAGGTCCCAAAACCCTATACTTGATGAGGCTGAAATATATTTCCAACAAGACGGCGCTCCTCCTCACTATGTTCTTCCGGTTCGGCAATGGCTAGACGAAAAGTTGCTAGATAAATGGATAGGGGCCATTTGGAATCTATTGTGTTTACTCCCCAACCCTAAAGGTTGGATGAACTTCGTCAACGCATCATCGAAAGCTGCCATGATATCCCACAACATGTTTTTGAAAATGTCCGTCAGGAATTTGAACATTGCCTATATCATTATTTGGCCAATAATGGGCAACATTTTGATCACTTATTGAAATAAAAAGTGATATTTTTGTGTGTTTTTCTTTTCTGTCTGAACAAATTAAGATAAATAAAGATTTTTCTAATTCTCTTGAAAACCAATCGACAGATTTTAAAAAATCGAACGTCAAAATTAAGGGCTTTGAAGGACCTTTCAAGCAAGCTATTACTTGATACTCCTCATCATTTAAACTTTTTACTGAGATGACCCTGGGGGGCAGAGGGTGGAAGGGAGTGAAGTATTTTTTGGTTAAAAAAGCTGTCCCCCTTGACAAATCTTTTGACGTGTCTCGGCGTTTTTTCAGTGCTTTTCGGTAAATCCGTGGTGGGAGGTTTTCAAATGAACACTCTGTATAACAATCTGCTGAGGGGCTGTCGAGGTGATAACCTCTGTGTATGAACACTATTAACAACTCAAAACCGGGAGATACAATGCTTTCGCTATATGAATGATAAGTAGGTGACTTGAAAGATAGAAATTTTAATTAATTTCCCATAGCGAAGCTGTCATTTTCCTATGAGAAGAATTTTCTGGAATAGAGAATTGTATTCCAGCTCTCATTCACGTCGTTTTTTTTGGACAAATTTTCTTTGCGCAGCCAGTTATACCTTTGTAGTTCTATCACCAATTGACAGGCGTAACCATGAATACAGTACAGCACAAACAGCCAAGTCTAAGTCCTTAACAGCTACTCTACCTAACCGGTTCTTACCTAACTAACTAATACATCAAAAATTAGTAACTCATTCACACATATGTATTATTATTATTAATAAAAAATAATGCCAACTTCATTACTACTATTTGGCACTCTAATTAAAGTTCTGACTGGCTGTTTTAATCAATGTTATATTGTTTCGGCACCTTTCGTAATTTGCACTGATAAGTATGTTTATTCGATTTTGTATGTATGCCATAAAATTTTGTTACAGAGTGACGTGTGTTAACACTGAATGTTCACTAACAACAATAAAGTGTTGTACGCATTATCCTAAACACCAACAATTTTTTAATCGTTTTTATGATTTTATGATACTGGTTCAAGGAGCTGAAAAATTCATAAGACATCTATCGGAAAACGGTGTCCCCATTGCAATAGCTACATCATCTGCCGAGGAAGAAGTTTCTTTGAAAACATCTAAAAAGATGGACTTGTTCGGACTGTTTAACCATATTGTCTGCGGCAGCAGTGATCCAGAAGTGAAACGTGGAAAACCAGAGCCTGATATTTACCTTATATGTGCTTCAAGGTAACAAATTGTGTAAATTAATGAGCCCCTGTGAAATGACTCAAACTGCTTGGCCAGCATATTGAAAACCATCCTCATGCACCTCGGGTGATTATATGTAGGTCGTGAAACGCAATCTAACATTGAAACTTCCGATGTTGAAGGTTTTGGGTCAGTAACCTTAGGCGGTAGTCTGACAACCAACTAAACCCTGTGGCCATGTTCATGCCGTGGGTAGCTAGCGCCAAGTCCGTGCTGTTCTGCGAGTTAACAATGCATCAGCCGATCTAAGCTGCGCGCCGAGCTAAACATTTGGGAGAACACCAATTATCACGCTTATAGTATACGTATATCTTGTTGCGTCATTTCTCAGCATAGATCTGTGTTATCGCATCAAATAGCACAGTCCTATTGTATAGGAAGAAGGAAGATCAACCAAGATCACAGCACTTGGGCCCCATTGAGCCCCCTGTAAAAAAATGAGCTTCCTCGTGGCTCGTTCAAGGCTGGATTTTCAGCCACGCCAGACTATTGAAAAAGGTGGTGATGCTACTTAGTTTCCCTTACACTATTATTATTACCGGACTGACAGGAGAGCTGGGCAGTTACAAAGTACAACAACTACAAAAGGATGTCAGTTAATCTCAAGTTACAGAGATGTTTCCTTAGCTGACAGTGTCCACTCGCACTTTTTATTCGACATTATCTGTCAGAGCATTTCTTAGGAGAATTGCTCTTGGTTAAAGTATCATAAGTCAGTAGGTCTGCCTGGTCTGCTGCCCAGATACAATTCAAAGTATGGGAGAAAAAAGCGAAGAAGAGAGAAGGGGATGTGGGTGGGAGAGCAAAAACGAGAAAGCGCATCAGTTTGAGGGGTACCTTGGCATTATTAACTGGTATTGGGGAATTTGAAATAGATTTTAAAATTAATTCGGAGATTGGTTGTTATAATGAAATTGTAGCTTTTGTTGGACCTAAAGTCGCACGATTTAATTTTGTTCACAGTGCGGGCCGCGGTCTTGAGTGCTTGCGAAATTGATCGACTGTGCAGTGTAAGGGTTACAATGCGATTCCGCTTGAAAATAGCTTAGCTGTGCTTGTTGTTTGATATAGTCCCTTAGGAAAGGGATATCCAGGTCTCTGTCTCATCGGAGACAACCCATAGGCCGTTAGTGATTGTGTCCTACAAAGAAACGCAAGAAAACACCAAGATGCACACGCGTAAGAGATTGCTAGTCTAATAACCATCTCGTATAGCCGATCTTTGTTGATCAAACTTGATTTTGAGGTTCTACATAGCACATGGCAGAGTTGCAGGAATATAATTTGGAATTTGGTTTTTACTGCTTCAGTGTGCTTCTGGCAGGGCATCCCCTTATCAAGAGTGACATCAATGTATTTGACAGAATGTATCCATGTTACGCCAACTTGGTTTACTGAAACCTAAGGGCAGGTCATAAGCGTAGAGATATATGTCCACGTGCTATGCCTGTGTCAAATCGAAGATTCTGTCTGGTCATATACAGGTAGTGTTTTGCTACTTCCTCACTAGGATAGCCGAGGAACTCTTTAGCGAATGAGCAGCCCGACGTATAATCCGTTCTTGAAGACTTTGTGGGCGTGCTCTTTTAGTATAGGTGTCTGGGCTCCCATGGGTAACACCCAGCGGGGCTCTGACCCTAGAATCCTATTATCAGCAGCCTTTTTGCGAGACTATCAGCTATGATATTACCCTTGGATTGTGAATTGGATTGTGAATGACCCTTCACCCTGGCAGTATTTATGTTGTTACTGATGGAGGCACTCGCAAGTGCCAAATGGCTAGTACTGTTCTTGTTGTGACCTTGGAAGAATTGAGTCACTGTTGTATGTCTGATATCCGTTCAGATTCGTCTGTTGAATTCCTGCAGGCAATTTCCTTTACAGCAAAGGTTATGCCAGCAAAGTCCTGTGGCCAGCTACCCAGGATGTGAGCATGGCCATCGATCAGTACGGGAGTCTGTTATATCATTCAGTGTCATGCGCGGTTAACACATATAAGCCTTTGTTGAGTTTAAGCTTAAAGTATAGCTTGTTACGTAGATGTAACTACTTAAATGACCTTATGTATATACTAGTATCACATGAAAAGAAGGCACCACAATGTCGATGTGCGTATACTCCGAAAGACAAATTACTCATCAACTCATAATAGCTGTTATTGCTCATTCGATTGTTATTTACATCACAATATTAGGTTGGCAGTTCGGGATTATGACATTACAGACAATTTGTAACGGTCATAGTGTCAGTGGTGTCAGTCAGTAAAATCATTTGTCCTATTTATCTAGGTTTGCAGACAAGCCAAAACCTTGCAAATGTCTGGTGTTTGAAGATGCATACAACGGTGTTCTAGCTGGACTAGCAGCTGGAATGCAAACGATCATGATACCAGATGTTAACGTTCCCCATGAAATGTGGTCGAAAGCAACACTAAGGTTTGACATACAACAAATCTAATACATATACGCATTACAGAATGCTCCAAACATGGTCATGCTACTTTTCATGAATATTAAAGATATAAGCTCAAGCTCATGGGGTGGGGGTCAAGCCAAGAATGTCGACGATGAAGTTAAATGGTACTCTGCGCAGAAAATGAATTGCAGGTTATGCGCATGTCGCATCTCTCTCTGTTGCTGTCATCATTTCTGTAAACAACTTCAATTTTGACACTTCGGACGAGTTGCAAGCAGAAATATTGAATAATATGCAGTAATAAACCTAAGTGAAATGCACATAAAGATTTTTTCTATGCAAAGATGCTCTACGCCTTATTCTAAGCCCACTAAATTTCCGACAGCTACATTCTTGGCAACAGTATTAGCCTTCATACGAATACGTGTATCCCTTACATAGTTTAACCTTCTCTCTCAAGTTTTCGTGCTATGTTTCTTTATACTTCATCACATCGAAACAGCTGATTATCTAGTGATATTCAAATTACCCCATATCGATAAGTGACATCCAACTCTGATGGATCTGTCAGCGCCAGATCTGTAGTTGGGTTTTCCTGTGCGCTACGAAGTCGGACTTCAGCAAGGCTTTTATTCAGATAAGATATAAAGCGCAGATAAAAAACGATGCAAGCCATGTGGCTGCTAGTGATCATGACTATAGTTGAAGTCAGGGCTGTGAAAAATTGTTAACAGTGTTTAGTCTAAATAGTTCTGATCACGATCCCGAGTTTCACCAGCCAACCATACAGTTAGTACAAATATGTCACTTGCTACTCAATAGACGTCAAAACGTGATTAAGTATCGTTAAAAATAGTTTTTAATTGCAACATGCTGCACTAGCTACAGGACAACAAATAATTGTATTATTCTGTGCATTTACACTGCTATTTTTATCCAGCTACGTCGGAGGGTCATGTTTTTCGAGCGTTGTATGTATGTATATGTGTACGTAGGTGTGTGTGTATATATGTATGTATGCATGTATTGTAACGAATGGCCACTTGTTGTCACTGTTGGATGTTACAGTATGTATGTAAGTGTGTATGTATGTGGATAATAATAATACTATTTCACGGACAGTTTTCACGGCTTGACTGATTTTGGCATACGAGGTATCCTTAAATTTGTGCCGACAGCACAATTAAGACTATTGTTTCCAGTTACTACAGTCAGTAAAGTAATCGTTGGTTGTCAGAGCGTGGAACCTCAGCTCTTGTGTCATCGTGTCAGTATATCTGTCAGGTCAGGTAACCTAGAAACCAGACATTTTTTTTGAAAATAGGAAGGAAAGGAGATAAGGGAGCAAAGAGGAAGAAGATAGTCTTTTTGGACACGGAGCTTTAGGCATCGTTAAAGTACTTGACAGGTTTAATATGGTCTAAAATATTTGATTTTTGTAGTGAATTTGTCAAAATGCTCTAATTTTGGTTGTTCCAAGTTTCTCGAATTAATTTTGATTAAAATGCCAGCCTCTTGTGCTTGTAAGCTTGCCCGACTGTGTAGTTCACTGAATCGCGCAAGAGAGGGTGTGATTCTGTTTGATTATAGACACTACAGTCGAGATTTCTGTTCTGTTTAATGTACTGGTTATGGAAACGACGCAGCGCAAGCCCATTTATGTCGTGCCCCACTAGAGCTTAGGGAATGATCACGTTGTGAGTGTTGCCACTGGGGTCACTTGACGCTCGTTTGCCTAATACTTGCCTTCCAAAAATTAAGCTCACGCGCGTTTCCGTGTGAACGACAAGTATTGATTCTGTACATTTTAGAAGCAAATAGGTCTTTGAAACTTACCCTTATACTCCTAGTTTTCCATCACGTGAACACAATCCATGGTGCCCAACTAGGCGCTAGTTTAACATACAGTATATGTTACGTCATGTATTGGCCAAGAGCAGTGCAATTGTGTAGTTATCAACACGATTAGCTAATGTTCTGTGGCTAGTGAAGCACGGCGTAAGCAAAGAGTAGTTATATCAAGAGAAGACACTTCCTGCTATGCCTCTATAATCCGCCGGCAGCAAAATGCCTATTTTAGGTTTTACGATCTGATCTAATATGTGAATAACCTTAGCAGGAAATTTATTAAACAGATCCTAGAACCTCAATAGCTCCAACAAAACAAAACAATGAACCAAAAAAGCTTTATTCAAAAGAATATGGGACAAACAAAACAAAATTAATGGTAACTGCTTAAAATGATTACTTAACGTTTATTTCTTTCGTCGCAAATTGATGTATGGCAAATTGTTGTAGTAGCTACTAATTTCAGTGATGATCAGTGGACGTTTATCTCTTTTTCATACATCGGCTGTGACATTTATCTTTTTCCCTGCACAGCAAGTTTTCAATTGGGTATAACTACGGACTGTCATCGTTTTTGCGTGCTTCCGATAGTTCATGGGATTGTACTGCGCTAAGACTACATGTTGCCGGTTCTAACGACAAAACATCAAATTTGTGATATTCATCTATTTCCTCTGTATTCTTTATTTGTCAAGTACTTAACATTCCGTATCAGTACGCGATGTAACCAAAGCTTTGCTGTCGGCTCTTGGACTATCACTGACTAACTAAGTCGTTAGTCTAATCATATTAGCAAATTTCCCTGAAATAATTGTAAAGTCTAGTTTTATTGATGCAAGTTGTTCAAGGGGGTATTTAAAACACGGACGCATAAAATGGGTACCCCAATTCTTGTGGGAAAACTTTTTGTTCGACAAAAAAGGATGAGAACGCGTTTTTTGGATTCATTAGGAAGTGGTGACAGGAACGAAAAAACTTTTTAAATAAGATTTTTAGGTATTTATGAGACCTACCAAATGAGACCACACGTAAAAAGATCCGACTAACAGCAAAAATGTTATGGCCGAAAAACGAGGCAAAATGCTGGTTTTGGCACTTGTTGGTAATGCGACGATAATTTCACGCAACTACTTGTAATGTTTGAATTTGTTTACAAGAAAAAAACGTAACCCATTCTTTTTTGAATAAAAATAACATTTAACTTCCTAAATGGTTTGCGATTAATATCGGGAAGGTGATCTCGTGTTTTTTGCTATAAAACTAACCCTGTATATAAATTAGTAGTGATGGCCGGAAAGCAGGTGTTTTGAGATAAGCAATTAGAAATTCTCAAAAATTTCTTGACCAATCTACTCCAATTTTGTTGTGGTTATTTAGAAGTATGAATCCTACGAATATGAAAAATTTCAAATATCTACGAGAAACCATCTTCGCAACAAGTGCCAGAACCTGCAGCTTGCCTCGGTTTTCGGCCATAACTTTTTTGCTTTGAACTTCTTACGTGTGGTCTCATTCTGTACGTCTGACAAATACCTGAAAATCTTATATGAAGAATTTGTTCGTTTCTTCCAACACTTTCGATTGAATCCCAAAAAACTCGTTTTCTCATTCTTTGTTGTCGAATAAAAAGTTTTCCCGCAAAAATTGGTGCACCGATTTTATGCGCCCATGTTTTGAATACCCCCTTGAAGATCTTGCAGCAATGAGACCAGACTTTACGACCAGGGGTATTTTCGTCTAATATGATTAGACTACGTGTAGTATTCCGCAAAGGGCCATAAAAGCCAGCGTTGCCAGATGGATCAAACATAATTTCCCCAGAACAAGCAAAAACCAGTAGTTGAGGGGGGTGTATGAGATGGAATGAAAAATAATTTTGCTATGAATTAATACTATTTCTCAGACTTGTCAGACCAACTTGTTTCTTGACGTGGCGCATGAACGAAAAACGATACGCGTATTTGCTACCACTTCGCGACTTGGAGATTTTGAAATCGCAGATCCGTGGATCTACAAAACGAAAAAAATGCGCGCAAAATAACGGAGATGAGTATCGTCTAGTTATTCTCCCGAAACACGCGAAACCGGCCAGTTTACAACTTATTATTCTGTTGTTTATCTGTGGTCTATGACTAAGGATGCAACTCTACCAACCTACAATTGACATAAATATGTAGATATGAGTCAGAGTAGATGTTTTGTGGAGATGGGCGCGTCATGAGAAAGGAAAAAGCTGCAGAAAGATAAAATTGTTACTTAGCAGTGGACAGTTTTTCGTACTTAAAGATGGAATAAAACAGCCCAAAAATACCCAACGATTTAGCACCCACAAATTTCCCAAGGAACGCAAGTCTCCTCCAAATTTGAGGGAAAATCCCCTAATATGTTAAAAGAAAAATACCTATGTGATAACTTACAGGTTTTGAGAATAGATTCCCTCTCCAAAAGTGTGATTTATAATTTTATAGAATGAAAAATATATTTCGTAGGCTGCAAATAGATGATAAATATCACCACCACGAATAATTGTCAAAACAGAAGTAAATTTGAACAAAAAATGCGTTCACTACAAGTGATAGTCGATGAATTTATCCAAAAAGTATTGGCTGCCTGGTAACAACTCCGATTAAGTTGAGAACAGCTGTGTTCAGAATCAATCAGCTATTTGTGAAGGCCATGTTGTTGGAGTCATAATTTCATTCGCCTTGGCTCCTCTTTATATACACGTAACTACTCTTTGGTGTAAACATGCCCTGTGTACGATACCTTAACTAAGTAAGAAAAATCATTTTATCTTGTAGATTAGATAGTTTCGAGCATATGGCCCCACAACTGTTTGGTCTTCCTCCATATCCAAGTGAAGGTGAAGGGTGCACGTCCATCCCAGAAATCGTGGTAGACGCTCCTGATGAGATAATACTTGAAGGTGAATTGGTGTTTAGAGACGACCTGTCCAGGTTGGATAGACAAAGCATTATCGAAGAAAACATGCAAGATAGTTAAATCAATAAATGATTTGTAATGCGATCGTCATTTTACTTGACAGAAAATAGTCTTTGATAGCGATGCCATCACCTAAATTACCGACCACTGACAAAATCCTCAAAAACTCCGACAGTTGGGTGAAATATAAATTTAGCACCGGACACCCCAGATTTTTTTTATAATGAAAATAAAAACATCGTTGTCACTTACTAATTTTTTAATTAATTTTGGGTGGATTTCTCCAGGCTTGTGAAATCAACAGTCCGTTATTCTCCACCTATAGGGTAACTGTCAATCAAATACAACGAATGAGCTTCAAGTTCAAATCAACAAATTTTAGCAACCAATAGCTATGAAATGTTGATAACAAAATACTGTCAAAGCATGAGATGACAGCTTGTCATTGAAACATCACCAGCTTATTGAATATTAAGAAATTACATATAATTTGGTCAAAATTTAAAAAAGTGTTTGATTTTTGAATAAAATTCATGTTTTTATTTAATATTGTCGATTTTTTATTCATGTTTATAGTATTTTCTTCAACTGATATGCGATTTTACTGATTCATCATCACCTACCGTGTGTTTTTACTATAAACCTCTTGCAGATAGCCTTTAAGCATCTACTTGATGACAGGCTCTACCAAAACTTTCATATATATTGCTCGTTTCCAAACATTCATTCATTTACTTGCCATTCATTAGTACCATTATAGCACCCTCGAGTGATATTCCCACAAAACCATTCAGGATTTTTGATATCCATACATCCATAAAGTCAAATATTATTTGGTTGTTCAGGAATTGAACAAACATCTACACTATATTTACAGCGATTAAGAAATACTCAAATATAACATATGTCGTAAAGCTACCGGCAAACTTAAAACCTGCAAAAAAATAGAATTTGCAATAACTTTCTTGTTTCACTGAGTACACATTCTAGGTTATATTTATATTAGACATTATTTGAATAACAGCTGATTATTACATTCCAAAACTCCCAACGAGTGACACATATGTGGGACCTGTCAACCCTTGGTCCTAGTGGAGTAAGCTCCGCCAACTGTTGAAATATACTCTACTATGCGTTATAAGACTATACGTGGAATTTTTCCCAAAATCGTTGCACAACCCTTGAAACAAATGCAAACGAAAATTTAAAATTATCTCCATGACGCCCCAAAATAGCTCCGTCGGTATCTCGGGTTAGACATCTTGACACTAGGGTTGTTCGATACGATCCTATAATTAGAAGTATCGATATTTTTGCTTCCCATACACGATATTTTGGATCGATATTTTTTTATACGACACTTGGGTGAATCGATATATTTCACGAGTACGGTCATCTTTCGATCGGGACTGTGTCAGAAAGAGTAACTTCAGTTTACTTTTCTTCTTTGTTTCCTTCCGCGGGATATCGATAACTTTATTCCAATAATTTAGAGGATCGATACTTCCTAAAACGATAAGAATCGATACATATCGATACTTTTCGTGGATCTAAACATCCTTAATCTTGACAGCTTGTCGTTCTTGTCAACTGGGCTTCAGGGTGAGGTGTTGCCTTTACTTTCTTACGTTTTGCTAAAATTTTATGACAAATAAAAGCTTCAAATGAAATATTGACGAATATGAACGGATATGCATAGAAATTGGAATATAAATTCATATTGCAAATTTCAGATTGTCTATGCATGGACTTGAACCGGATTTTTCGGTATTGATACCGAAAAGAGAATATTTTCCGATAACATCGTTCTCCATCTAAACCAAAAATAAAGCTAAAAGCTAATTTTATGTAGTCTTCATAGTTTTATGCCCCATATCAATCATACATATGCATACACACTCAGACAGTCGGGCACATGAGAGACGTAGATTTTGATTGCCTATGATTACGAACGCACATCCTCATCCCTTACTCCGCTTGCCCTGAATTGATTTTTTTGCGTACAAAAGATACAGACTGGTAGATTACCGTCATTACCGCATCACCGGACAAGCAATCAAGAAACCGGAACCTGTCTGTTTTCAAAATAAATATTTAATTAAAATGAGAGGTGAGTTCATGAGTTCAGGGGTAAAACAGAAAAATATTCACAATCCTATAAGCAAGAATCGAAAAAGGAGTTTCCAGAATGGTTGCAAAGTACTTTGAAAGAGCGACCAGTATGTACATTGTAGAAGTTGTAATATAGAACTATGCCCTCAGAAAACATGTAGTGTGCGCGCCCAATACAATAACAGACGTTTTTCATGACTCAAAGGTCCTTGATCTGCCACTGATTTTCGTTCGGCAACACTGCAGATGTGCAGATCACTTTAAAAGCAATTGATATCCCAGACGTCTTATAATAATAGAGATAACAAGAAAATATAACAATGTTTGGAGATATATTTTCATAAATAGGTATTTTGATTCTGACTTATAATATCTAGACGATGGATAATAGGTGAATGCGGATACTGTTACAAATATCGATGTTTTAGGACCCAGAAATGCAGAATGTGCTCTTTGTTTACATTTGGTGTGGATTTCTAGATCATAAATCTGCAAACATTGTTTTTGATGTAACAAAAGACGATGAACCAGTTGGAATACGTTTTATATCCTTTTTTTTGCAGAATAACAAAAATCCGTACATTTCTATTATGTATAACACCCTGTACGTGATATACAGACAAAACTAGATTGCCATGCACGAACAGTCGTCGAAAACAGTGAAAACATCCTACTAAATAAATTAGTTAGAAAATCGACCTATTATTTCTCTCATTTTCATTGATCCATTTAAATAGCTGACCGTCTTTTGTGAAATGATAAAAATTTGAAATTGTATGAACGTTATCCTAATTCTAAAGCACAAAGACATAACATTACATCTATAATGTACCCCTATTTATAAGGCAACCGTTTTTTCACGACTTTGTTCAACATTTCAATGGAAATCACTGATATTCAGAGAGCTTTGACAGCTTCCGTCAAATTGCATTTCGATAAGGTCTTTTCCTATTGGTCCAACTGCCCGTCAAATATTAATGTTGGTGGAATTGGCCCTAAAACAACTTGTTAGCGACTTATTACTAATAAAATGATACTCTTCTATTACTGAGGTAATTATAGTTTTAATTATTTATATTTATTTGCCGAAAATACAACTTTGCTACAATTTGTTGCCGGTTTGGGTGCAAATTAAAGCACTGCCATGAAACAGAAACCTTGTGTGTGACAATAATCCTATTTTTGTCACATTTGCGATCATGGTCGTAATTTATGCGTTGGCAGCTTCTCGTTGTCGCTCACTCACGCACTGACGGTTTCTATACGGTCAACCAACTAGCAAAGCAGTGCTATAAGCTTTTGGTAAAAGAACCGTTCAGCCATAAAAGCTCTCTATTGTTGTTGCCTGAACTCCAAAATGCTGGCTTAATGTTGTGTGGAATGCAGATTTGCTTTCTGCAACATATTCTTATAGCATAGTTACACAACACCTTATAGGACAAATTTTTAACTGTTGCATAAACGTTTATACAACTATTTTATACGGCATATTTGCAGGTTAGTCAAAATGGTTGTGTTGTGGCATGCATGGTAACGTTTATAAAACAAACCCGAGCCTTGTTGTTTTGGTGCGCAAATTTACTACTTTAGCCAACAAATTACTCCAAACGGAAGCACTTATACAACTGTTGTTTAGTAACTGTTAAAGGCTGTACATATGCTAAATATGTTGGTAAACAACTTCACCATAACCTAACTTTCTGCTGTCATATTTTTGTTAAAATGCCATAACCAATGTTTTAAGACAAACAACGCATGCATATTGGTTAAAAAGGTTTTATCCACTGTTCAAACAGAAGATATAGATCTGGTACAAATTCTAGGTAAATCATTGGACTCTGTCGGTATTTCATTTCTGACATTTGTTAAATTGTTGTATAATACCTGCAGGCAACACCAAAATATTCTAACCTAAAGACAACATGGACGATGCCATGATTGTACACAACCACCCGCCATATTGGGCAAAGATTTATTCCTCTATTTGATATTAAATGATTATGTTTCAGTTCGAAATTACAGATATAAAGTGATAAACATTAGTGTAATTGTGTCTAAATATAGGATTTGTGGAAGATTTAACGCAGATAAGTTCAGTTTTCCATCTTAAAAATCTAGACATACTTTTGATCATTATCAAAATATGACTGAAATACGAAGCCCGTAGAAATTGAGTAACTACTTTGCACGATAATCACAATAAAATTTGCTGCGCAAGTAATTCAATAGCCATATATCACAGTGTAGAAGTTTATCATATAACTGGGTATGAAATTCACAATGGCCGATATGTAAGTAAACAAGATGACTGTATTGTGTTAGTTATATATTGTTCACTTCATCCATACAATACATAAGAAATAGTTTGGTTGCAATAAAGTAGAATCACGTAACAGAATAGTTGTATAGTTGACAAAAACTGAATCTTGCACTCATGCAAATGTCCTATAGCGGCTGGAAGAGGCTTACACTTTTGTTGTATAACTGTTACCTGCAGCCCTTAACCTCTTAAATGACTGAAGTGTCCTATTAGATGTGCCCATTCCGCTTGTATAGCTATTTTAAGAGGGTTTTGCCAATGTTCTTACAGTATGCAATGCTGTATAAGGAATACTGTATAATCATTCTTGCAACTCTAATAGGAGTGATAATTGTTAGTTGGGCACTGGCGAAACAGCTTATGACTGGGTCGTGAAATTTCACTGGTTGTTTGTTTAAAATAGTATTAAAAGTCAAAAATGCATTAACTGTCTAATTAGCTAATGCTATAACTCTGCGTAAAATTTGATTAAGATGCACACATTAAAAAAGTATTGAAATTGACACTGATAAAAGAATGTGTCTTGACGACATTCATATATTCAAAAACAAACGATAAACCTGAAGAAGCTCCATGTCTATCGAAAGTATAAGTAGAAAAGTAGAATATAGAAAAGACAAAATGAATATAAAAAGAACACTACAAATACGAGAATCATTTCATTCATACAGGCTGATGACATAGAAACATTTACTATATTTTGCCATCTATATACTCATTTTGTATTGTTTTGTGAGCGACAGGTATTTTGTTGTGCAGCTTGAAGCATAGATAAACCCAAGAGGGTTGCAATAGTCTTTTTTCCGGCTTGGGTAATATTTGG